CTGATCCATCGGATAAACGCTGTGCCGAACCCCATTCTCTCGAGCAGCCAGATCATGTAAAGCCAGTTCACTCGATCGAATGCCTTCTGGAAGTTCAAGAACATCGCATACGCCTCTTCATCGTGAGCTGTCACGAGGTCCTGCAAATCAGCGAGGAACCGTACATGGTGCTGGATCGACCGTCCTTTGACGAATCCCTTCTGGTCTGCGTAGATCAAGTCAGCGATGACGTGCTGCAGACGATATGTTAGCGCCTTCGGCAATACCTTCACATCGACCTGCATGAACGCTCTCTAAGATATTCTGGAAGGGAGATCATAAGCTTCATTAAAGCACAATTAAGTGAATATGATTACGGTCATAGTAGTCGATTAAAATGATTACTTTTTTATCTCAGCAGAGAAGCAGCTTTATCACATAATTTGGATCAACGTCATGAGTTAGGCAATCAATGTCTTTTCATCGAGCCACAAATTGTGGGCCAACTCTGACCGAATTTTCGTTAACTCAACGAGCTAGTCTCATCCTCTTATCTGAGGTCGTTTCGGAGAGTCCAAATAACCGAAAATGAATAGAGTCATGATTAGCCCTAAGTGTTGAAGTTCCGCAGTTCCGATGTGCGGCAGATTCAGTGGTTGCTGTCAGAGTCGCTTTGTAAAACGTTATCTCTTAGCAGTCTGGGCAGCTTTGTCTGATAGCTAGTATCAACTGATGTGCATGTAATTCCACAAAGCAATGGATCGCCGCTGTCGTACCTAATATGCCGTAGTTAGTGTGTAGTAACAATTCAAATTGGTCATAGCATCTAGTTAATCACACGTTTTGACTTTTTAACTACGTATTTCCAAAGCTTCACGTATTTTTCTAGGTACGTCATCGAAAAAATAAAATTTCGGTATCAGAGTAAGTTTTTGACAAAAAATAGATCTTTGACTTAAGCAAGAGACGTCCACTAAGCGATTCTATCCGTACACCATGAGCGAGCTACAGTTTATCGTTGAGCACTTAAACAAGAAACCATTTTGTTTAGGCTTGACGCTGGTGGCCTTTGACGAAAAAAGCAACTTCGAGCTGCTGCAAATTACACACGAGGTCTTTGTCGAGATTGATCCAACACGTCACTCAGGCGTGGATTTGCGAGCAGAGGCTGATGAGTCACGAGCTCAACGCTATCTAGAGTTTTTGCAATTACTCAAATTTCCATTACCTCGAGACATTAATGGATTTCGAGAGGCTTTGGCCCATGGCGATCGACAGACCATCGATACGTTACTGTACTGGGCACTCAAGAGTCTACCAGCGCATCAGAAACGAGCGTATCTCGGTCGATTCTTAGCTCCTCTTAATGTTCCACAAGAGCATTTTGGAGATGGGTGTAGGTCAAATACTGATAGCAATGTGTTGTATGGATTGTTGCGTCGAGTCTGACATGTTTTATTAACGATACAGCCTTAAAAGCCATGTACGAGAATTATCAACAACTACAGGACAAGTTTAAGGTCGTACACAAGGAGGCGGATCAGTTGAGGACTTCTAAATCTCGCCCTGGGGAACTCCGGCGTGAAATTTCTCAATTGGAAGAAGAATCTCAGCAACTTACGGAAAAGATTGCAAATCTAAAAAAAAAGACCACTTCGAATTCAGGATTCCAGGAGATATTGGCTGCAACAAGTGCACTGCGAAAAGAACAGGAAGAGCAAGCAAAATTAGCTGAACGGAAGCGCGACCAGATGCTGTCACTGTCGCTTGCTGAGAAACGTGCACAAGAAGCGGAAGCTCGACTACAAGATCTTCGTGCTTCATTATCACAGAATGCAACACCAGAGCAGCTCTTTGAGCGTCTGCAATCACAAGTCGCTCGAAACAAGGAAATTCTCTCCATTAAGTTTCCAACCGAATTCAAAACGAAGCAAGAGACATTACAACGACTTGAACGAACACTTAGCGAGCCTCGGAAGACAGAACAGGACATTGACGATATGGAAGACAATGTGCAGACTTTGAAACGTGCAATTCAAAACTACCAGACTCAGATAGCTGACGCCCAAATGGCCCAAAATAATGGAGAGGAAGACAAACTTGCTGTTTTTAGGCAACACGCAAGTCTTCAGGCTCGCAAATTGGCCGATAAAGAGGGAGAACTTGAAGAACAACGAGTTGAGCTAGAGCGACATAAGCGTAGCATTGAAATTTGTGAAGCTAAGTTAGCCTCTCTTTCCGGGACCAAGTTTATGAATCGGGACGAATTCAAACAGTACGCGACAACTCTACGCAACAAGACCAATCAGTACAAAAAGGTCAAAGCTGAATTGGCCGAGCTTGCTGCGGAGAGTGTGGTGCTACATCGCACCGAGCAGCTACTTAAAAGCAAAGACGCAGACCTGGAAGGGTTCTTACGTGACCTTGAACGCCAAAAGGGAGTCAGCGGTTTTTTTTCGACTCAGGAGAAAATTGACGATGTCTCTGTGCAGAATGCAAGAGTGAATGCACTGAAAGGTGAAACGCTTGAAGAGATTTCACGCGTTGTCACGAATATTAATCAGGCTTTAAAAGAGCGCAAGAACCAGTTAGCGCCACAAATTAAAGAGTTACGCACCGTTCGTCAACGCTACCAAGAGATGGAACAGATTTATCTAGAGCGTAAGTCTCAATATGATCAAACAGCCGTCGGGCTAGAAGCTGAGCGATTAAAGCTTGAGCAAGAGTGTGCTGCCTTTCAGGAAGACGCACTACGTGAAGAATCACACTACCATCTTCTGCATTGCCAGCTCGAGTTGCAGCAAGGAAAAGCAAACAAAGTTGCTCATGAAGTCGAATTTGAACAAGGCACATCGAATACCCGTCTGCTTCGAGATATTCGTTCATTTCAAGAGCTGTACAAACACAAAGTGGCGCAACAGGAATCACTGACAAAAGAGCTGCGTAAACAACAAAAAACACTCAAAAGTTCTGCACCTGCCAAAAAACAACAAAAAGAAATGTTTGAAGGTTTGTATCAGCTACTTGCATGTAAAGCTCGTCTCGCTCAACAAGATTCATCGAGTGCTGGAAAATTTAACAGAAACTCTGGAAGTACAGGACATGATGTTTATGACAGTTATAATGACATAAGAAACTACCATGTCGGTGGAGCCAACGTCATGACACTTATTGCTGAATAGATTTTCCTTACATTTTAAAAACTGTTATGATGATAGAATGCCAGTGTACGAATCTCACAGCAGTGTTTAAAGACTCAAACCTTCTAGTTGGAGAATCAATTCGGCCTTTTGATTTTCAAAACACCGGGTTAATTCCTTACAATCCCGTTCATAATCTTCCTCAAGCTGACGAAGCTTTTGTTGTACTAAAAGTGGTGAAGTATCGGCTGTCGCTCTGGCAGCTCGAATCGTCGCTGACTTTGAAGAAGCAATGCGTCGAAAATACTTCATAAATGACGGCTCATTGCTTTCAATATCTGGCTTGGAAGGCTCACCGTTGCAGCTCCCGTGACTACTGCTGCGACTGCTATTTCTTGAGCTAACCATTGAAGCAGTTGGAGCGGCCGGTGGACGAACAGTTCCAAATGCCGCGATAGGAATCATTGTACCGTACAAATCGCTCGACGTGATGTCGCGCTCGCGATTTTCAGAGCCAGTGCTCTCCATTGTAGAATTAGCTGACATGTTAACTTCATCACCTCGGAACACCATTGTATTGCATGCGTCATCATCCGGGGATGCGTTGGAGGAGAAAACAGTGGTTCCACCGTTAAAACCACAACCAAGGGAATTACACTCGTTCCGTCGGACCGATGAAAAACCAACTGCAGTGTCTGAGTGTCCAGAGCCATTAAAGCAGCTGGTGCCGTTGTTGAACATCGACCCATTGCGGAGCATTGTGCTAAGATCAGCAACTGAAAGCGAGCCATCGGGACGACCAGTCGCTGCATCACGAAAATCAGCTTCGTCTTCGGCACCTCGCTGCCTGGCTTCATGCACAAGCTCCAAGCTTTTTTCGACTAGCTCCTGCAAAACTGGTAGACCGGCCATTCGACCTCCAGTCATTAACGCGCGATCTACATTCGAGCGCAAAGAATCCACATTACGGGCAATAAAAGGATGATGCAGCAAATTCTCTGCCGAAGCACGCTCTTGAGGATCTTTTTTCAAGCACAAGGCGATAAAGTCTCGAAATTCAGCGGAGAAATTAGCAGGAGCACGAAGTTCGGGAGGTGCACGGTTTGGGATCAAAAAGATAGCACGCATTGGATGCATGTGAGCAAGAGGTGGTTCACCCTCGGCGAGCTCGAGTGCTGTGATACCCAATGACCAGAGATCTGCCTTGCAGTCGTACTGAGCTTCTTGTATTACTTCTGGTGCCATCCAAAATGGAGTACCAATAACTGTCCGACGCTTCCCTACAGTCGCTGTTAACTGCGCCGACACGCCAAAGTCTGCCAACTTAGTCACACCGTCTCGATTAAGGAGAAGATTTCCAGCTTTGATATCGCGATGAATTAAACCTTGAGAGTGTAAGTGAGCTAGACCCAAAGTTATGTTCGCGCAAACAGCAGCGATTTCTGCTTCACGTAATACCTGCCGTCCACGTAGCACGTGTAAATCAGCAAGTGAGCCAGCAGCACAAAATTCCATGGCAATCCAGAGCTGAGATTCGTAAGAAAAACTGCCGAGGTATTGCACTACAAACGGTGACTTGCATCGTTCCAAAATCAAAATTTCGCGTGTAAGCTCCTCGTATGCAGCACGATCTTCATTCTCCACAGGGACGACTTTGAGTGCCACGACCTCAGCACTTGATTTGTTCACAGCTTTGTAAACCTTGCCATAAGACCTGACAAAGAAAACCAACTTAAACACTATTTCTATGTAGCAATAGCATTTAAACCCACCCTTCACCAATGCGTTCTAGCACTTCAAAAACAATTTCAGGATTTTCGTCTCGCTGGATGCTTGTCATTGTAGAGACAAAGTCGCCCCCAACCGCAAAACTTGCAATGCTGCTAAGAAGGGAGCATATAGTCTGCCAGAATTAGACAAAAACTCAAACAAAAATAAACTGCATTTGCATCACTGAAGACGCAAGCTATTTGAAGCTCAACAACGGATATGCATTGCACTTGTGTGCATCATGAACATCGCGTAAGGTGCACATGAAGCTCTATGTTCCCGCAAACAAAGTTATACTTATGACTAATGATCCATATCTCAAGAATCATGACATAATGCCTCTTGAGAGTATTGCTAGGCAGCTACTGTTATGCATTCATATGGTATAGCGAGATTTTACTTTGCTTTTGGAATTGACATCACACGAGAGGTGCCGTTTGGACAAGAGTCGACAATCATGCATGTTAAATACCTTTAAGGATTTCTTGGTGACAACGAAAGCGGCTAGTCAATGTTGAATTAAGTAGAGCATTTTGATGTCAGATAACAAATTTGTAGCGAGCAACGGCGTGCAGAGTACTTTTGTCATTCACACAGGATTATGAAAATTCATTGTTACGTGATAGCGGAGTAAGGATACACAATCGTTCAAGCCTCAGTTTTTCAAGAAAAGATATAGATCAAGCGCTCTACATTTCTCGTCTTTACAAGACCATAAGTTCTGGGTTTTCCATATAAGTTTTGAACACCTGTAAGAATTGGCCAGCAATCACATCGTCAACCACGCGACGATCGGACGATAGCGTCACGTTCATAAGCGTTACCAGCCGTGGCTCTGGGTCGGCGCCTATTGCAATCTCACGAGGCGGAAGAATTTCTTTGCGACCACTTCCTACGGCCAAAATGCAGGCCTGAGGTGGATTTATTACAGCTCGAAATTGATCAATACCAAAGCTTCCAAGGTTAGAAACGGTAAATGAGCCGCCTTGAAACTCCTCAGGCTTAAGTTTATTCTGGCGCGCGCGGGACACAAGCTCCATAAATATGCTGTTGATACTGCTGAGGCCAAGAACATCCACTTTTGGTACGATTGGGGTAATGAGTCCTGAAGGTGTAGCTACAGCCACAGACACATCAACGCTCGAATTTGGCTTTAAACTCTGAGTCTTGACATCAAAGAAACAATTAGCCTCAGGAACGTCACGCAACGCGAGTGCCACAGCCTTGAGGACGAATTCGTTTATCCCGACCTTCACGTCGTGTTTGACTTTAAGCTGTCTACGGAATTCAAGGGTGCTGTCGATCTCGCAGTCAATACTCGTATAGCTGTGGGGTACGTCTTGCTTAGAAGCTGCAAGCCGTTTAGCAATGATCTTGCGCATATTCGATAGCGGGAAGTCTTCATATTCAACGTCTTCTGCGATAGCCACAGCTTGTTCAGTTAAAAGCTTTTCTTTTGGTTTCATCGCCTTCTCCAAAGGCGAATGGTTGAACTCGGGAAGCAATGCACGCTTGCCTTTAAACTTGATTAAAGGGACACGACCGTTGTTCGTCGACACTGCAGCAGGTGCTGGAGATGTAATTGGATTAGACTCACGGTTATCTTCAGGCTTTGAAGAAGGCATGGCTTCATCTGAAAGGTTGGCTAGGTCTCCACTCTGAAGCAAACCGTTGTATATATCCAGATCTTCCACAGTGTAGGCGAGCAGGGCACCGATTGGCAAGTCAGTAGAGCCCTCAGGGCACACAATCTTGGCCAAAACAGCATCATCTTGCATTTCATAATCTACAACAGCCTTGTCAGTCTCTACCTGGCACAGCACTTCGCCAGCCCTCACTTCTTCACCCTCTTTTTTTAACCACGCAGATAATGATCCTGTCTCCATCGTGGGTGAAAGAGATGGCATTGTAAGAGGGGATACGCCTTCAGGTAGTGATGAGAACGCTCGACGCAAAAGAGGTGCTACGCGGCGCTTTAAAGCTAGCGCTTGAAGCGATCGATTAAGCAAAACGGAGCGCATTTTGTTTTGATCGGTTTGTGGCCCGGGGGGTTGGCCATCGAAACGCTATCAAAGCTAAGATAAATTATGATTAATTTGGAATAAAAGATGGATACTCTTACTGGCTGTTGAGGTAGCCATATGGAAGGAGTGTAAATTAGATACACCCGAGAAGTTGTCTATGATATTGTATTATTCAGCCTTACTATACAGGCACGTCGCCATAACTCGTGCCGCCATCTCTCCTGCAGACTAATATGACAGAATTCCTTACGGTTTCCCATGGAGAATTGACAGAAGCTGTGGCGGATATTTTATTGTATTATTGTGTGAACCTTAAACGACTGTCACAAGTGTACGATTACAATATTATACAATTGTACGATTTCTTACAATGTACTTTTGTGGAATTGCGAGATCAGGAGTACCAAAGTATCAGTACTTACGAAGAGGTCTGTAGTGCACCTGTGCTGTTAGCCTCAAGTGAAGCAAAAGAGTTACTTCGAGCAAATTGTAAATATGCACATTTAGTGTCAGTAAGCAAAGCAATTTAGATAAGTGATTACTCTCAGTTTCACTCTTGGGTAGAGCGTGCGAGTGCAACTTTTGTGTGATTATTAAAGTGGGCTTTTTGGGGCATAATGTACCCCGAAAAGGTGCGCAGCAAACCCATTGCAGATCTAAAGACTGCTGAGCGCAAAGTGCAGCGGGGCTGCCGTGGCGTTGTGCTTAGAGGAAGCGTAATTTAGGTCGCCGACCTTTCGCTCTATACTTAGAGCAAGTACGAGTTAGCAGATCGCACCCGCTTAATCCAAGAGTAATTGTTGCCTTAGCCCAAGGCTAATTACTCTCCCGTTTTAAAACCAAAACTAATTTTTATTTATTTTTATCTGCGGCAAAGCCGAGGATGTATAGATTTTCCTAAATATATATAGTAAAATCTAAATACATGCATAACTACTGG